CAAGTACGACAATAAGTACGATGATAAGAAATACGACAACAAGAAGTACGATGACAAGAAGTACAGCAATACGTATGATGACAAGAAGTACGGCAAGTACGACCATAAGTACGATGATAAGAAATACGATGACAAGAAGTACAACAATAAGTATGATGACACGAAGTACGACATGAAGAAGTATGATGACAAGAAGTACGATGACAATAAGTACGGCATGAAGAATTACGCTGACAAGAAGTACAACGTGAAGTATGATGAAAATAAATATGACAAAAAGTATGAGAACAAGTACGATAACAAGTACAATGACAACAAGTACGATGACCACACGTATGGCATGAATAATGACAAAAAGTACAAGGAGAAGAAGTACTACAACAAGTATGACAACAAGTATGAAAATAAGTATGACAACAAGTACAAGAACAAGTATGAAAATAAGTATGACAACAAGTATGACAATGAGTACGGCAACAAGTACGACAATAAGTTTGATAACTACGGCATGAAGTATGACAACAAGTACAAGAACTACGACATGAAGAAGAACAATAAGTACGACAATAGGCATGACTATGAGCACAAATATGACTATAAGTACGACAATAAGTATGACAGTAAGTACCATGACAAGAAGTATGATGAGAAGAACTATGGCAACAAGTACGACGAGAAGTACAACAATAAGTACGATGAAAAGAAGTACGGCATGTAGAAGTACGATGACGAGAAGTACAGCATGAAATATGAAGTATTATAAACAGACAAAGTATGACTAGAAATACAACGAAAAGTAAAACAATGATAAGGAAGTACAGTTAACTATAACACTAAGTAGGACAAGATGTACGACAAGAAGCATCAGGACAAATTAGGTATGCCATGAAGTATGTTGAGAAGAATTATGACAAGAAGTGCAACGATGACAATGAGTATCATAATGGTGAGAAGTATGACACAAAGTAAAAAAATAAATATGATGACAAGGAGTACAACAAGAAGCATGATGGAAAGACGTACGACAACAAGAATGAATGACAAAAAGTATGAAATGAACTATGATGAGAAGAAGCATAACAAGAAGTACTGACATCAAGTGCGATGAGAAGAAATATGACAGGAAGTACGTTGAGAAGTATGACGACAAGTACGATGATAAAGTACGAACGGAATGTACAACAACGAAAAGGATGACAATTATAATGACAATTATGACACGTATGTCATGCATACCTTTCTCGCCCTTTTGGCTAAGTAGTAAGATCAAGTGTAGTATCTCTTCTGATCAGTTTCACATCTGATCCATGGTCCATCGGGCCACATATAAAAAAAAACAGGGAAAAAAAAAGCTTTAAAAAAGTGAGTACGTGTCCGTATGACAAGTACAACAATAATAAACAGGATGCAAAGACGCACTACACCAAGTAATATCATGGAAAGGGGTGCGAAGACAAGTACGATCATGACAACAAGTACATTGTACAAGAAGTGAAGGAGCAAGAAGTATGGTCACAGCTGTCATGTTCTCCAAATAGATACACAAATGTACTAGGAACCGAATGCGCGAGGGGTTACTTTCACAGTGGAACCACAGAGACCGTGTTCGCAGCGGAAGCATTGGTGTAAATCCATGGCGGAAGGCGGACCTACCATGTCGGTGTGGCTTGGTCTATATCAGCAGAGACAGAGGACCAGCTACCAAGAGGCAGCTTCACAGAGGAGGTGATGCAAGGAGGTACGGACTTCAAATCCGGGAACCGGACGAGGGTCAAAGGCGAATTTTGCATAAATGAAGGGGTTTGTTAAAGAGGTGCACAGCGAGGAGGTGCTCGTAAAAGGGGTGCTGCTGCAGTGTGAGATGGATCACAGGCAGTGCCCAAACTGCAAATTGGGTTCAGGTGGAGCATCACTTACACTCTGCACAATGTGGAGCTTCAACCTTCTGATGGGCCGGTGCAGCGCGGACAAAAACAGTCTATCCACTCCCCCGTTTCTTGTCCTTTTATCCCTCTCTGCCTACTGTTCACTGGGCAGTTCTTTATTTGACTATTGATATATATAACAATAACATAATAATAGTTATATAATAATAATATAATAATAATAATAATAATAATAATAATAATAATAATAATAATAATAATAAGGTAACAGAGAACTACATGGTGAAGCACAGGCAGAAACAGAGAAAAAGACAACAAACAGGGGTTGTGACGGACTCGTGCTAGTGGAGCCCTGACGGTCTGTGGACAGTGTAGGTAGCGCTCCTTTCGTGACAGACTGTTTCTTTGGAGTTTTCATATACGCCAATTTGAGAAGAAACCCCAAAAGGGGGGAAATTTTGAAAAAAAAAAAGAAATGTTGCATAAGATTCCTGAAGAACTTAGATCACAATTTACTGTTGTTTTTGTGTTGTGACACTCCATTTGTCTTATTAGGGTGACACCTCTCGCTCCTTCTTCTTCTTCTTCTTTTTTTTTTTTTTAATTTGGACCATTTCTCAATTTATGGGGGTCATCCTTGAAAGCGCAGGGGCCATACTAATCTTCTCTGTATCGTTCTAATTTTAACGGATGTGCTGAAGGACATGGCTCTCACTTTTTTTTTTTTTTTTTTTTTTTTTNTTTTTTTTTTTTTTTTTTTTTTTTTTGTGTGTGTGTGTGTGTGTGTTTCTCCTCATATGGGGGACATCTGCATTTTCGGTACCATACGTTCTTCTCTCAGTTTCGTACCTACCTTACACTACCGTCTTCCCCCGAACATAACGCACCCTAAAAATGAATGTATACAAGCTATATTTCCGGCCAGATACAGTCAAAATGAGGGTGCGTTGTGTTCGGGGGAAGACCGTAGCTACCTTGCCTACCATACTGAGAGAAGAAAGTAGGGTACCAAAAATGTGAGTAGCTACCTTCCTTACATTTTTAATTTTTTACGTACTCACACGTCTCGGCAAGCAACCTACCGTCCCAACTTCCCAAGGCCACCTGGCGCTACAACCCAAAGCAACCAGACACCAGACAAAGGACCAACCGACATCAGACCGCAATCACATCTATTCAGGGGAGGCAACTACCTTTAATATGCTACTAGCTCATCCTAGCTTATCCTAAGGTTATGGGTCATTTCCTACCCATGTCTACTCTGTGTGGGGACCACAACCCAAGCTCCTAACACCTGGCAGGGGCTGGAAAAAGCTTGCCAACTTCCACAATCTGCCAGGCGGGACAAGCCGACTTTCTCAGTCGGCGAACCCGTAGTATGCCACACAGGGGGCGTCGGGAGTTCAATGGATGCATGGGGAATCGAACCCTCAACCTCTTGTGTACCACCTACGTGCTTAACCAACTGAGCTAGGCCGCGTGCCCGCCTCCGGCTGCTTTCAATAGCACCGTTGTCGACAATCTGCCTGCCTCTAACGATTCTGACGAACAAAAAAGGGAGGAGCAGTTGGGGAGTATTTTCTAAATGCCCCTGTACTTGGTGTTACTTGCACAAATTCTTTTGTTAGAATGCACCTGGGGCAAGGTCCCACTTGGGCAAATTAGGAGATTTGGGCCGATCTACGGTCAGTATCTCTTAATTCGTGCAAGTGGGACCTAGCCCCTGGACACTCACGGGGCTGTTTTTCCGGGGGGCCAGGCGCCCAACTTATGCCTGGGTACACGCCCGGGTCCCCGGCCAGGCATGACCCCCGGGCAGGGTTCCGGGCAGCCCCAGCGCTAAAAAAACAAAAATGAAAAATTCAAAAAATTCCGGAGTAAAGATACGTTATGTAGAATTGAGATACAAACGACTTTTTTTTTTTTTTTTTTTTTTTTTTTTTTGGGCTGAGGGTCACATTAGAATTCCTCACAGGGTCGGAGATAAAAAAACGAAAACAACAGAATCATACAAGCCCCTTTAGCCTTCCCCCCCCCCTTGACAGCCAACTCACAAAAAAAGAAATGACCTCGGGTTTGGGGTCCTCTGGGAGTGCACAGAAAACCAAAGAAAAATAAATAAATAAATAAAATTTTTGGTTTCGTTTTTTTTTTTTACTTCTTTTTTTCATTACCCTGGACATCACGCCCGGGTACCCGGCCGGCCAGGACCGGCCTGGCGTGAGAATCTTCCTAAGCCTGGACATGCAAACTGTACAAGATGCACATTTGTCTAGGTGTAATGAATACCAAAGCGTTTGGCTCGTGATTTGAGCAAAGAAGGTGGAAGACACGTGTCGATTTTTTCTCCCCCTTCTGAACAACAAAAGGGACGAGCACTTTACAAAATGGTTTCCTGACTGAATGCCTCACTTGAAGAAATGCCTTTGTTGGAATGCACCTGGACATGCAACCTGTACAAAGGCATACATTTCTCTAGGTGCATTTGGACAAAGGCATTTGAGCAAATAGGTGGACTACAGAGTCCAGACGTTCCAGGAATTAAACCTGGACGAAAATAAAAAGGAATTAAACGTGAAGCACTGCATTTTCGAAAGGAGGGAAAAAAAAGGAAACGATAACATGGGAAGATGAAGTTGAAAAAAAAAAAAAAAAAAGGGAGTATAGACTGTATAGTAGCGTAGCATTTCCTGACTTTTTTTGTTTTTTTAAATGAATGAAAGAGGAAAGTCATTCATACAAGGAAAGTCATTTAAATGGATGCAGGAAAGAAAAGGCAGGCAGCTACCCAAAAAGGAAACAAGGGAAGGAAAGGGGATTGTAGGGGGGGAAAGTACCTGAGGGAGAAAACAAGCCATCCGTCGCTCGTATTCCAAAAGACAGATTGAATGCACTGCCAGTGACTTAGCAATACTTGCTATTGCTGTGGTCCAAACTGCGAGCCGGTTATGGAAATGCTCACCTGATGTACACCTTATACGACTGGGTTTTCTCAACATCTATAGATGACAGCGTACCGAAACAGAAATCCCAGAGTATCAGACATAAGAAATTCTCTCTCTCTCTCTCTCTCTCTCTCTCTCTCTCTCTCTCTCTCTCTCTCTCTCTCTCTCTCTCTCTCTCTCTC